TCAAGACACTTCAGAAATCTAGGTAGGCTCCATAGACGGAGTTTAAATAGGCTCGTTCCACTAGAGTGACGAACGCCAATTTTTGTCAGGCGACAAAGTAAAGCTGTGTGTTGTTGATTTTGTCCAACTGTAGCAACGAATATGGCCGACAAAAACCGACAAACGATCGACGACACTGCAGTTGTTTGTCGTCTGACTGGCACCTCTGACGCGGGAGCAGCAGTCGCACCAGCGAACAGCACTCACCGATGAACCCGTCCTCCAGATTTAAAAGCTGGGCAATTAGTCAGTAACGGTTCATGGTGATTCAAAAGAGCACACGCAGCACCCTCACCGCTTTCGTGCGTCGGCCCTCTTGTGCTCCTCGTTCTTTACTTCGTTTGCATTTGTCTGCTACCGCAATTTGAGCTCGCTAGGCGTGTCGGCCCGGCCCGTGTCGCGAAAGGTGCAATAGCAACTGCCGCGGAGTCGAGTGAGACGCAGACGTATTGGGTTCGAGTCGGCAAGTGAAGTGACTTTATTCAGGCCGGTGATAATATAGGCTAGCACGGAGGAGCAAAAGAGTGAGGGGGCGCTACTTGCGACCTCCACATCTCCCCTTCAGGGAAAAGAAACAAACTTGTTGTCTTTATAAATTAAGTTTCTTGGGCGTCTAGATGCGTCGCCCGAAGCGAGAAACTCTGCCCTGTTGCTGAGGGCACACTGGTGTCTGCGGCGAGGGCACCCCGTGGCGTTCTGATGCTGTGCCCAGCACCGGGGATTTCGCCAGAGACCGCGGAGACCCAGTGAAGAATTGTAGGGGTTGTGGAGGCGGCGAAGTAGCATGACGAGGCACTGCAGGCAGGGTCGATGCAGCTGGAGTGTCGCAGACCGGCGGCCTGGCAGACTCCACTGCAGGCTGAGGTGGTGTAAATAGAACCAGATGACGACGGTTCCGCTCAAGTATGCCTGTGGGAGTCTGTACAACGTACGAGCGAGGTAGTCTTGCTGGCCCCAGGACTAGAGCAGCTTCAGGTACTTCTGCGAGCCAAACATCTTTGCCTGGAGACAGCGGAGAGAGTGGACGTGCGGCGTGGCGCCTGTTGTAGGCCTGCGCCTGTCGGCGTCGAGGAGACGAGTCTCGCTCGTAGAAGAATGTCCTTGGATGCGATCGAGGGGTCAAAGCCTCCTCAAGCTTGGGCACGGTGGTCTGCAGTCTTCTCCCCATCAAAAGTTGCGCTGGGCTCCATTCACTTACTCCCGGGGTGTCGCGATAGACGAGCAGGGCCAGGTAGGGATCCCTCGTCTTGGCCAGCAGGTCCTTCACTGTCCGCACCATGCGTTCAGCCTCTCTGTTTGCCTGCGGGTACCGGGGGCTGCTGGTTACGTGATGGAAGCCGAAAAAAGCAGCGAAGGAGGCGAAGTGCCTTGAGGAAATCTGTGGCCCATTGTCGGAGACGACGACAGTGGGAATGCCAACGCGTGCAAACATGCTCTTCATTTCTGCAATAACAGCCAAGGAAGACGCCGACGACAGGGTAATTACCTCCGGGTAGCGCGAAAAGTAATCTACCGTGAGGAGGTAGTGACGTCCACCTTGTTCAAACAAATCAGCCTCCCCCCCCCCCCCCCCCCCCCCCGAAACCAGGGCCTGCTCGGAGTCTGGGAGCCCATGAGCGGCCCGTGGCGCTGTAGCCGGCACCATGACAGAACAGCACACGACAAAACAGCACGACGACAAAACAGCACGCGTCAAAATAGCACGCGACAAACAGAACAGCGTCAAAACGGCACAGCGACAGAAGAGCACGTGCCAAAACAGCGCGGCGTCAAAACAGCACAGCGTCAGAACAGCACAGCGTCAAAACAGGACATTGACAAATAGAGCTCGGGTTTGGCGTTTTCGGTTTTAATTATTTTGAAATTCGGCGTACATTTTTGGGTTTTTATTTCAAGCAGAAGTTTTCGGTTTATTGCTGAGTATATTTGTAAACTCATAAACTTTTTAGTTCTTTTCGGTTTATTGACGAAAACCAGTATACTGACGAAAATGCAATATTTAAAGGCGTTTGTTTAAAATGAATAGTGAGTGAACCAGGTACTGAATTTCTTATTTCTTGCTGTCTGTGGCAGCCGACGCGAATTGTTCTGCAAGACGCACTGGGGCCCTATCGTGATCTGACATAATCGTCGTGGGCTCGTATTTGTACACAGGACGAACATGAGCTTTACTACCACTTCGGTTGGAGAGAGAAATACCAAAATCCAAACAATTGCAAGCATTGTACTCAATGCGTCTTTGCCCCACTTTCACGACTGCGAGAGGTGGCATTCGCGCAATCCAAGAAACGACAATAAGTCAATCGTATGTATGCCCTCTTCTGGTAGACGGAAGCTATGGGTGTAAAAAAATGTGCGACATTTACGGATGCCCATCAATTTTATTGTTCAGTTCACGATTAAACTCTCTTCTTTGAAGAAACAATTCTACACACAAATCCCCTTTCAGCTGAAAACCCCACATTTCGTCCAGAAGACCATTGCGTCGTTTCAACTTTGGTTAAAAGTTGAACCGATCTCGGAGACAGGCTCAAAACTGCGGAAGGAAGTGGTCATACGGTCAGTAATGAAGCACATTCCCCCACCCACCCCTCCAAACGCCCTCGAAAATACTGACCTTTTTCAGTTAAAACCGAATTTTTAAAGAGATTTAGTCGCACTTTTATCGGTTTTATCGGTTTCAGCCGAAAACGCTGAACCCTAAATATAGCGATGGAGTTAAAAAATGCATGTCTCCAAGTAGGCACTGTAAAAGAATGGAGGGCCTAGGCCAATTCCTCGAAGGTCATCTCGTCGACGGCCAATTTGTCGAGTCCGTTCTCATGGGAGCACGTTGGGAGTGGGGAGTATACTCGATCCGTACATGAACGCTCCCTGGGCAGTACCGAAGCCCCCGCTGGTGCGTATTCTGACTATTTCTCGAGCAATTCTGCTAATATTGACGCTCAAGTTTGCTGGTGATGTCGTCTATAATAAATAAATAAATCGCACGACAATGTGTTATTGTTAGTTGTTAAAAATAAAACAGAAAGTGTGTGCGACAACGGTTGGCTTAGCCCACACTGTACGGCAACAGCACTGAGGCTGTGGCATATTTCTGCTTCACCGGTTTCCAGTCGATCGAAGCCTTCGTCGGAAATAATCTGTGAATTTAACTCAAAACAACTTCTCGCCTGCAAGCTGCAGCCACGTGTTTCCGGGACATTTTTTTTCACGGCGAATGAACCCCGCAGAATCGTTGCCCATGGTACACCTTGAAGTCGCTCGACATTAAAGAGACCATATCTTCCCTGTTCTATCAAGGCATCTGTAATCGGCGCATCTCCTGCTTTTTTGGGGAGCCGTTCTACGCTTAGGTGGTAATTACGAAACGACGAGTACTACAGAAGCTCACCGGACCGCCGCCAACCAGACGGTTCATAACTTCAACTTATGGATTTTTTTCCCAATAACTTTTCATCTTTCGTTAACTAAAAAAAAAAATATATATATATACCAGACAACGCGCTTAACATCGACGCCAAGATACGACCTCTAACCACCCAATCTCTTCAGAGATCAGCGTAGTTAAGTAGTAGTAACTACTGCTAACTTCGTTTGTTTTTAGCAGTAACAGCAGCACCAGTCGGGACACTGACTTAACAATTAAATATGCAATAAATTCCTTTATAACCTAGCGGCAATAAATGAAAGGGTTAAGGAGGATCGAATATATTCGCCCAGAGAGAGGTGAAGAGCGCGCTCGAAGTTGCTACATGCCTGCTGTTTTGTCGCTGTGCTGTTTGCCGCCGGGCTGTTTTGGCACCTGCGCTTCTGTCGCTGTGCTGTTTTGAGGTTGTGCTGTTTTGTCGCGTGCTATTTTGACGCCTGCTGTTTTGTCGCCGTGCTGTTTTGACGCTGTGCTGTTTTGACGCGTGCTGTTTTGGCCGTGCTGTTTTGTCGCGTGCTGTTTTTTCGTGTGCTGTTCTGTCGCGTTCCCGCTGTAGCCGTGTCTGAGTGCAGGTCTAACAGCCGGCCACCAGCTGTTCCAGTTGCGAGTTCAGTGTCGGCCACCACACGGACTCGCACGCCCGTGCCTTGCAACTACCAATTCCCTAGTGGCCCTCGTGCAGTCTGGTCAGCATGTCACGTCGGAGCACCGCAGCACCAGGATCCGGTTGTTGTAGAGCAGCAGCCTCTCGTAGACTGTGATGGTCCTCCTCGTGCTCTAGAAGCAACGTAGATGGGCAGGAACTTGCGACGCTCGCCGCGGCCACATACGCTCGCAGTGACGAGCCAGATCCATGCAGGTTCCGTCTTCCTCCTGGTGTTTGCGCAGTTGCTCAAGACCCAGAGCAGTGACGTCTCGCAATCCCCTCACGATGTTGTTTACGAAGCGCTCTACATCGAGGGAGTCGACTTCCAGACTGGCAACCTGCGTAGTAGCTGGAGCCCAGAAGAGGATATCGGCGGTGGCGTTAAGCTTCCCAGGGACGTAGAGTACCCGGAACTGGAAGCGAGGGAGCCTCATCCGCAGCCGTTGAATTCTTGGAGGGACGAGGTCTAACTCGGCGTTGCCCAGAAGTGTGACTAGAGGCCTGTGATCATTCTGGACGTCGAACTGGATACCCCGGACGAACTCTTCGAATCGTGTGGGTGGCTGGAGGCAGCGATGGGCCGAATCCAGGACACTCTTCAAGCGGCGATCGTCACGGTCCAAGAGTACGTGACGCCTCGAGGCCTCGCCTGCTCGCCCCAGAAGTCAGAGCTCCTCCTTCTCAAACTGGTGCGAGCTAAACAGCTCCTTTCAGATATCGAGCTGTACTCGCGTGGAGTCCGAACTCCGGCGGTTGAGAGCAGCCGGGTTTTTTGGGCTTCGCATCGAAGTGGACGGCAACAACTACGAGACGATCAACTCGCTCAAAGCTACGGCCTACCAGATCACACGACTCATGTAGCGCATCTCCGGCCGTAAATTTGGCATGAGAGAAAGTAACCTGGTGCGACTGGTCCGTGCCTTCGTCGTCAGCAAGCTGGCATACGTGCTGCCGTTCCTTCGTCTCGGGTTAGCAGGGAAGACCAAGCTCGACTGTCTTATTCGCAAGTCGTACAAGAGTGCGCTGGGCCTGCCCGACTCCACTTCGAACAACCGTTTCGCGGTCCACGGCCTTCACAACACGGTGGATGAGATCGTGGAAGCTGAACGCCTATCTCAAACGGAACGTCTCACGAGAAGTGCGACAGGTCGCCATATTCTCCGCAGCCTTGGCATTCGCTACGACAGTCAGACTGGGCCCAAGTGCGCCGTTCCCACGCAGGTCCGGACCGCACTCCTGATCCAGCTCATTCCGAAGCACATGCACCCTGTCGCTGTCGCGGTCGGGCAGTGAGCGGACAGAGACCAGCCCGTGAGTGTGTCAGTACCCACTGGCGAGCCCAGGCGAGCCCACGTTTATTCGTGTCTCAAGCGCCCCCCGTCTCCCGTGCGGTGGCGCCCTCTCGCGGCTGCTCGCCTAACCCTCCGACACCCCCCCCCCCTTTCTTTAACTTGAAGTCTTACAAGTCCAGGCGCGCTGGTCGTCTCACTTGTCGTCCGCTGCGCGTCTGCCTCGGTTTGGGTGTCGGGTAAGTTGGCCCATTGATGCTTGGCTCGTCAACAGAGGCTGGTTGCCGAGCTGCTTGTTCTTCTGTAGGCTGTCTTTCCGGCTGTAGGTGCCTCTGCGTGCGTCTTGAAATGCCGGACGCTGTCTCCACCACATATGATCGAAGTTCTGCGGCAGCGTGCCGTACTCTCCCATGTGTGGCTGCTCCGGTAACAATCTTGACTCTGGTGTCTGGCTGTATAGGCCCGTAGTCGGCAGCTCGGTGACACTTGTTGTACTGTTGTGCTTGGAGCCTCCTATATTGTGCGTTGCGTGTTCTAAAGTCTTCGCAGTTCCAGTGCGGCCGTAGTGACCCTGGGGCTGCAGGCACGCTCGTCTTTACCTTGCGTCCCATGATGAGCTCAACTGGGCTGTACCCCTCCTTCCCTGGAGTCGCTCGATGTGCAAGAAGTGCTTGCTGTACATCGGGAGACTTCCAAAGAAGCTGCTTTGCTGTCTGCACTGTTCTCTCTGCTGCTCCGTTGCTTTGTGGATAGTAGGGGCTGGAAGTGATGTGTTTGATGCTCCAGTCCCTGGTAAAAGATTTGAATTCAGCAGATGCAAACTGTGGTCCGTTGTCGGATCGGATGACATCCGGCGTTCCGAAACGAGCAAACATTGGTCGCAGAGCCTCGGTGACGTCTTTTGTGGTCGTTGTCCTCAACTTGACCAACTCGAAGAATCCAGAAAAGTAGTCGACAACGACCGGGTAGTTGTCGCCTTCAAGCGAGAAGAAATCCATGCCGATCACTTCCCATGGCCTCTCGGGAAGAGGCGTTTGCAGGAGAGGGGCTACTCCTGGTTTGCGTTCCTTTCGACAAGTGGGGCATCGGCGAACAAAGTCCTCAATGTGAACGCCAATGTTTGGCCACCAAACCGCTTCTCTGGCTCGGGCTCTACACCTGGCTACGCCTTGATGCCCGGTGTGGATGTTGTCTAGGACTTCGTTGCGAAGGGCTGGGGGTACAACCAGTCGGTTGCCCTTGAACAGAAGTCCTTGCACTATTGAGAGTTCGCCCGCTATTTCGCAGTATCGCCGCACTTCTGGTGGTGGAGCTTTCATGCTCGGCCAGCCCGTAGAGCAGTACTCCCTGACTCGAGACGTGACTGGATCCTTCCCGATTTCATCTTTGATCCGTGAGAGCATGTCTCTTGATGCAGGTAACAGTTCCACTGTGAGAACTTCATACTCCCGGACGGCTTCCTCCAGGTCGGCAGCTTCCTTTTCTCCTGCTCCAGTTAGTGGCTTACGTGACAGCACATCTGCCGTGTGGATCTCCTTTCCCGGGATGTGGGAGATCGTGAAGTCATACTCGAGTAGTCGCATGCGGAAACGTTGCAGACGAGGACTCAGTTCATCTAGACGCTTCGTGGTGAGTAGTGGCACAAAAGGCTTGTGGTCAGTCTCAATATGAAATTGGAGCCCTGTGCGGAAGTGGCCACTGGCCCACGTGATGGCCAGTGCTTCCTTCTCAATCTGGGCATAGCATTGCTCAGTTTCCGTGAGTGCCTTGGATGCATTGGCAACTGGTCGTCGCTTGCCTTGGGACTCCTGCAGGAGCACAGCCCCAATCCATAAGATGAGGCATCGACCGAGAGCGTCAATGCTCTCTTTTGTTGTACATTGCCAATGCCGGGGTTGTGATGAGAGCTGCCTTGGTCTGCTCGAAGGCTTGGTGCTGAGCCTCTCCCCAGTACCAGACTGCATCATGACGAAGTAGGTCTCTCAGTGGCTCAGTTCGCTCAGCAAGTCCGGGTAGAAACTTCGCCAAATGGTTGATCATTCCCAAGTAAGACCTGACTTCTGAAACGTCTTGTGGTGGCCCCATCTTCTTGATGGCACTGAGCTTTGCTGGGTCAGCTTTGATGCCTTGCGACGAGACGATGTGGCCCAGAAACTTCACTTCCTTTTTGCGGAAAGCACATTTGTCTGAATTTAGCGTTATCCCCGCCTCTCGCAGACGATGGAGCGCTTGCCTTAGGTTGCGGTCATGTTCATCTGCCGTGCTGCCGAACACGATGATGTCGTCCTGCAGACACACCTGCCCTTGAAGTCCCTCGAGCACTCGTAGCATTTCTCGCTGGAAAACCTCGGGTGCCGTCGATATCCCGAACGGTAGCCGCAAGAATTGAAAACGTCCAAACGGAGTCAAGAATGTTGTATATTCCTGGGATTTCTTGGACAATGGTGTCTGCCAGTAGCCTGCCCTTGCATCAAGCTTGTTGAACACTTGTGCACCAGCCAGCTTTGCTAGGCTCTCGTCCACAGATGGCATGAGCACTCTTTCTCGAACAATCTGCTTGATCAGTTCACCGTAGTCCACGCAGATGCGCAGTTCGCCGTTCTGCTTTTTTGCGACCACCATTTGTGCACACCATTCCGTCGCTTTGTCGACTTTGACGATAACCCCTAGATCTTGCATGCGCTGTAGTTCTCTTTCTACGTCGGGTAGAAGTGGGATTGGTACTCTTCTCGGATATGTCACAGCATGGGGTTTAGCTCCTCGAACAAGCACTACCCTGTATGCGGCCTCCATGAGCCCTAGTCCCGAAAGAAGCTCTGGGTAGCTCTCGAGAATTCTGCGTGCTTCAGTGTCTTCATTCTCTGGTGCCGTGGTGACTTCCTGAAGATACCTAAGGACCTGCAGCGCTTTGATAGCTGGACGTCCCAGGAGGGCCTCGCGGAGGCCGCTGACGACGTAGACAACCTCTTGTGCCGAGTCGTCATTCCACTTGATTGTGACGTCAGCTTGTCCCACTGTGTGGATCGGAGATTCACCTAGACCCAAAAGGCGCTCGTTGTTTTCTTTATCTCGCCCATTTTAGCCTGGTCGTAGAGATGCTGTGGGATAGCTGTGACATCTGCACCAGTGTCTATTTTAAACGTCACATCCGTTCCACTGACGTTGGCAGTGATCTTCCATGGTTCTGTGCTTCTTTCTTGCACGATTTCTCCCACGTAAACTTCTCCCACAGTCGCGCTGTGCTGGCGTTGACCTTTAGGCGTCCGGGTCTTGGGGAGTCGAGGCGACCTGCACACGACAGCGAAGTGTCCCTTTTTCCCGCAGTGGTTGCACCGTTTTTCCGCAGCTGGGCACTGCTTCCTAGAGTGCTGCTCTGCACTGCCGCACCCCTGGCACCCGCCTTGTCCGATTCTGCCAGACGCGTTTCCTTGGTTTTTTCGTGGTCTCGAATGTCGTATCTCGTCTAGGGCTGCATTCTGTTCAGCTTTCTCATGGAGCTCGCTTTGTTGATTCTTGACGATTTCTGAATTTCGGGCTTTCTGCCTAGCCGTCTGCAGCGTCAGCTGGGGGTCCAACTGTAGTTTCTCACTAAGTCCCACGTCCAGCAATCCCACGACCAGCCGGTCGCGTATGAGGTCGTCCTTGAGGGGACCGTACTCGCACGACTCCGCTAGTCTGTGTAGTCCGGTGATGAACTCGTCCACTGTCTCGTGAGGTTCCTGGCAGCGTCCATTGAACCTAGCTCGCTCGTAAATTGCGTTGGCCCGAGGCACAAAGTGCTTCTCGAATGCCGCGGTGACGGTTTCGTAGTTCTTGCCTTCGTCCTCAGTCAACTTCAAAGAACAAAGAACGTCCGCCCCTTCGCGGTCCATGGCGTAGAGAAACGTGTTTACTTGCGTTTCTTGAGAGCGGAGATGCAACTCGGTGATTATCCTGTAGCGTTGCCATCTCGTGAACCACGTCTTCCACGTGTGCGGCTGGCGAAAGTCGAACTTTACCGGCAGCTGTGTTGAAATCGGGTTGAAGTAGCTGTAGCTGCTTCCCGCCTGAACCGCTGCCTCTTGGTCCGCCATGTTGGACCGGCGTTGTTGCGCCGTTGTGCGCGTCCGCTGCTCTCACTGCTGGTTCGGTTGCGCGTGCCGTGCCCGCTACTGTTGCTCTTAGCGCTGATTCACTGCTGCCCGCCTAGGGTCACCATTTCTCTTGATCCCACCGCTGCCACCATGTCGCGGTCGGGCAGTGAACGGACAGAGACCAGCCTGTGAGTGTGTCAGTACTGTCTGGCGAGCCCAGGCGAGCCCGCGTTTATTCGTCTCTCAAGCGCCCCCCGTCTCCCGTGCGGTGGCTCCCTCTTTCGGCCGCTCGCCTAGCCCTCCGACACACCTGATACTCCACGAGGGACGCAGGAGTGCGCATGTTCGGGCTCTACGCTCCCTCCTCAGCAAGGAACAGGACGTCTACTACGTAGATGCAGCCGGCTACGGCACCGGCAAGATGGTATCTGCTGTATTCAATGCCGGGGGGTCCCTCGTCGCGAGCTGGAGCATTGACACTACGGACCCGGGAACGGCAGAAGAGGTGGCCATCGCCCTCACTCTCCAAACGCACAAGGCACGCTTCGTTGTGAGCCATTCACAACGGGCCATCCGAGATTTTGCCAAGGGTCGTGTATTGCCACAAACAGCCAGAATTCTGCGCGGGGTCGCTCGCACGACGTCTCCCATCAAGGTGATCTGGACCCCAGCTCACTCGTCTCTTCCCGGTAACGGGGAGGCTCACAGCGCAGCCCGAGGATTGATTGGCCGGGCTGGCCTAACACTGGACCCCTCCACCACGTCGTTGGCGGGGAGAGACGGGCTGGTCACTTTCCGGGACGTCCTCGACTACTACGCGGGCGATCGCGCTCGCTAGCCGCCGGCGCACGCCACGCTGGACAAGGCATCGCTTGCAACGCCTGCAGACGAACCCCTACCCGAACCCTTACACGCTCCACAAGTGATACCCGGACCGCTACTATCCCAAATGTAAGCTCTGTGGAGCAAGGGCGAACCTGCGGCACATGCTGTGGGAGTGCGCACGACTCGATCGATCGAAGTATCCCAAGATCTCCGCAGTCACCAGTCAAGACGACTGGGACGCTCTCCTCAAGGCCGCCTCACGGGAGGTCCAAGAAGCCATTGTCCGATGGTCCGAGGACGCCGCCAAGATCGAGGGGATCGAAGCCGCCGTCTGAGAAAGACGACCGGAGAAGGCGACCCCTCGCGGGACAGCTGACATCGATCGCCGAACACTCCATCTGGGCAAATACAGATTTATTCCTTCCTTTCTTCTACGTTCCTGGTGTCGTAACAAACCTGATGCCTCGAGCCCTTGGTTTACTTGTTCGCTTCGTTTTCTTTCCAATTTAAAAAACGACCCTTCTATACAGCCAAATCTGTGAACACGCTAGAATCTTGGTCACGATACAATGTTTTATCCAATATGTATGAAACTTAGCTACGGGAGCGTAAACATAATTTATTTTTTGATACATTGACTAGTATATTACAGGACACCCCCCCCCCCCCCCTCCTACTTCTGGTCCGCTGTGAATCTGAAATAGCATTCTTTCAATAAGCTAGTTGATGATTTTGATACTCTCACCCCGGATAATGAATGTGGAACTCTTTTGAATAAGGAGTTTAGAGCGCAGCACTTAAGCACCCGTTTCCGGCTTTAGCGTCGTCGTCGACGTCGGCGTAACCGCGTGTTGCATTATGGGACGTTTCCCATAATAACGTCACACATGACGACACGTGTGGCCTCGCGAGGGTTATTTTTATGAGGGTTACGAGGGTTACCCTCCCGAGGGTCACGGGGGTTACCCTTACGAGAGTCACGAGGGATACGAGTGATACTTTCAGGAGGATAACGTCACGACGTTACCCTCGTGATGTCACACGTGACGCCACGTGTGACGTTATATAAAAAACAAGTTACGTCACATGCCTCTAACATTGCCAATATTCCCGCTGAGTTTAGCGGGGAAATTGTTCCGCTAACATGGTCGGAAAAATATTCCCCCTAAGTTTAGAGGGCAGATTGTTCCGCTAACATTGTTGGAAAAATATTCCCGCTAAATTTACACTCCTGACGTCACGTGTTACAACAAGTATGACTTCGCACATGACGTCACGTGTGACGTCACGAGGGGAGACTTTTCTTGCTAAATTAAGCGGAAACATTTCCCCGCTGAATTTAGCGGGGAACGAAGAGGTGCATGTCCTCCCCTCCATACCCTTCCGTCCTCCTCCTCAAGAGCTACGCTCTAATTCGGCGTTGCCAACAATTATAAACGTCTTTCATTGTTCCACTTCTGTCAATCATGCCTCCCCCTCTCACGCGATTACTTCCCAAAGAATACTGTTATAGTCCATATTACCGAAATTGTTAAAATTACTAATTTTTTAAAAATATCTTCGTCTTGTGGCGTAGATAATATAAATTCTAAAGTGAGTCTAGCCCAAGGCTACGACTCACATTAGCTTTGGTATCAAGCTACCCTCTCACAGTTCTATTATGCAACATGGTGTCAGAAGAGGGATGATGTCTGCAATGAGCCAACCTCGAGAGCTCTTTAAGAAACACGACCACGCCCAACGAGAAACCAGACGTCATGAGCGACTTCACTTTCAGAGGTATTCGGGTTCGGCTTCAGGCAACCATCTCTGGCATTTCGTGCCATACAACCGCAAGAAGCCTTCTGGTTTTTGTAGCGAAACCAGTGGCCTATGTGGAATTGGAACGCTTCGAGCGTTTCCACACCGTCTCGAAAATCTGCAACAAGCCTGAGCCCACCAAATCGATGCTTTACAGTACATTCCAGAAAGGGGTGGAGGAAGTTAAGAAGTTTGAAATCGTTATGGCGCACCGCGACAAGTACTTCATACCGCAGCGGAACGCCATGTTAGAACTCGCTTGTTTTAACACAAGAGTTGTGAGCAGCCTGGCGGCTCCCCAAGTACTTTTCCAGTTGCGCGACTGCGGGGCACAGGTGGCGGACTTTCCCGCGTGGCGACAAAGTCGAGCCGCACATCGCGCGCGGGAGGCACTCACTTGGTCGAGCGAAGTTTTAGCGAATAAAGCCCCGGCCCCGACGTTTGATCGAATGACACTTTAGCTAATGGTGGCACTCATTTGAGCGAATGACGGATTAGCGAATGACCCTCGGCGTCTGCCGCGCCTCCTTATTTCTGTTATTTTATAATTGAAAGCGCAGCTCTGAGGCGCTCGTTTTCTGCTTCAGCGGCATCGCCGTCGCCGTCGCCGTTGGAGTAACCGCGCGTTGCATAATGGGAAGTCTTCCAAAATAACGTCACACGTGACGTCGCGTGTGGCCCGCGGGTTACATTATGGGGTGTTTTCCATAATAACGTCACACATAAGATCACGTGTGACGTCACGGGAAGGAAGAAAGGAGGAGTAGGAGAGAGGAGGGAAGGAGGATTAGCAGGGAGGAGGAGGATATGAGGGGAGATGCCAGCCACCCGTTGTGCAGGCAAGTGATATCACCATTCATAAATCACAGAGGGGCACGTATGAAAACGTGGTGTACTCTTTTTCCAAGTGGCCATCTACATGGGTACGGGTCTGTGGGCTTGCTCGTTGCAGCTCTGTATCTCTCGCCTACAGTATTCACAAAATATTTCTTGCAAGACAAAGAACTTCCTAACAGTCATGCGGGAAAACACCCCATTCGCCCCGAGGAACGTGCACTCGCTGTTCCGCTATGCCATTTCTGGGGAGCAGGATCAAGACTGTTGCTGTGGAAATCAAAAACGCCGAGGAGTCTTCGACAGGACCGACAGCAAGTAGGATGACATCGAGAGTATCACGTCCTTCTTTAAGCGCCGTTCACACTCGTGCGACTGAGTAAGACCGGGAGAGACCACACCGGTTTTTAAGCCTTTTGCGACTTCTTAGGACCGGATGCGATGCAGCGGATCTGGTCCTAAGAGATCGCAAGAGGCTATAAACCGGTCTGGTCTCTCTCAGTCTTAGTCGATCGCAAGAGTGTGAACGGGTCTTTAAAGTGTTCACTCTAACTACAGTGTTCTAAAGAGGTTTAGTGGCAAGAGCGGCGGCCGCCACGTGAAGATTTTGCGCGTACACGACACCATAGCGCTGCTTTATCTGAGCCCTTGGAACGTGGCACCGTCAGCCTCGTCGTCGGCGCTGCTCGGCGTGCACTACTGTAGTTCGACTGGAGCTTTTCGCGACGCAGAACAATCGCTAATGTGAAAAATTGTAGGTTTTTCATTGCACTAATGACTCTAGAGTGTGTTTTTGATGGAGATCATTTGATTAATATGAACCCACCCCCTTCTCAGTACTGACAGGTCGTTCAGCAACGCTGTTAATTGGGCTGCACGCTTAATAGCTGCAAAAAAAACCACGCGATACTGATATAACAAGGAAAAATAGACAAATGCATTTCAATAAATTTCTCACCTTTTTAATGGTGAGAGGAACAATAAGCTGATGTATTGTTTTTGTCATCGTGTTGCTGATGCGGGGACCAGCGTTGTGTAACGTGCAAGGCCGAGCGCGTTTGGGAACGGCCGAGGTGCCACTGCAACTGGCGAACATATAGCAAATTGTCTTTTGCGGAAGGCAGTCTATGAAGAAAAATACCTCGATTGGGAGTACATGAAGCATTAAAATACAGTATGAACACAAACTTCAACAACCCCTAATATGAAAAAAAAAGTACTCTCAACTTTCTGCTTTATGATTTCTCATATGTGGTAATACGCTTCATTCTACGTACACAGCAAGCACACGAGAGATATCCAGCAACATACTACGCCAAAAGACTACAAAAAATACAATAGGCATGATATATTGTAGCATAGAATCCTAACCTCTTCGCCTTTGACGATGTGCACATAGTCCCGAAAAATAAGGCGCGGTTCAAAATATCTCTCGCACACCGCTGATGTCTCGGCGAGGCGTTTATCTTCCCGCTTAAGATTTTCTTTTCCACTGTAGTCGGCACGACTCCTCCTTTAGCGCGCGAAACAGCGACGGCTTACGATCGCTGGTTCTGCGGCTGCTCTTGTTGACTGGGCCCGACTTGCATCCCCGCGCGAAGCAGTGGCTGTGTCCGTCTTTTTCCTTGCATTGATGACCGAGACGGCAACGGAGCCGGGAAGACTCCCAACCACTACACCACAAAAAAAAAGTGCTACGATTCTACGTTTGGGAGAAGCGTACCGCCTCAGCTTTGTCGGCTTCGCTCATTGCACATCTCCCATCTGCCACAAATTCTCCTAGAGCACAGAAGTCCAGCGTCATTAGCGGCATCTACGTTGACCGTCTTCACTCGGCCCATTTCAAGCGTGCGCTGCTCTTGCCACTACATCCTCTAAAACACTGTACTCTGACGCTGTCTCGTCCTTCCGCCTTGCTGCTGCTGTCGTGTATCCTGGCACTGGCAGAACTTAGACAGAATGGAGTTTCCAGATGTTAGAACTCTGTTTCTTTTCTCCGGAAAAGCGGGGAGCGAGAATGCCAAGATATATATATATATATATATAGAGAGAGAGAGAGAGAGAGAGAGAGGGAGATAAAGAGAGATAGATATAAATATAATAATCTTTCTCAGATTCTTTTGCCCGGTATATCGCAAAACTGAAATACCCCAAGAGAGGAGCAGGAGCAGCAGAAGGATGAGGGCAGGAGCTCTGGAAAAGGAGAGCAGGAGGGGAGGAGAAGAAGGTCCGGATAAGGAAGAGGGGCATACCCTCCCCCATTACCCTCCCCTCCTCCTCCTCCTCAAAGAGTTGGGCTCTAATCCGGCATTACCGGGAGTTGTAAACGTCTTTCATTTCTTCGCTTCATCCAGTGTTTCTCACGCAGACTGTGACAATACCGAGTGTGTCTGCAACCTGACCGCTTACGAGTTTTCAAGACAGCGCTGTCTATGATCGCCGCAATGACTGGACTGTGTTAGACTGCGCGACAGACTTACTGTTTTAAAATGCAGGGGGAGGTGTCTAGACACAATCATAGAATAAAATTCTGTAGAAAAAGGCAGGTTGAAAGATTGTAGTTGCTTTCATACACATATCGCCCTATCGCAGGTGCCCGCTCAGTACCCGATACCCACGTTTTTGGGGCGCTGCCATCTGGCCATCACGTCAATGCAAGTTTCCACCAACGTAAC